TAAAAAAATCCTTGAACTTCAATTTTCGAGACCAATTTCGTCCTTCCATCGACGAAAGTGTCAGATGGCACATTAAGTTGCCACGAAATCAATTCTTGTTTGAAATCTTTAATTATGTGAAAAATAACTTAACTCATTGTAGTATATTATTATCCAAATCATTTTAATTAATATATATTTTTTTAAATCACTTTTAAAACGATAACAGAGCACAACACTCCCAAAAGGAAACGCAAGTTACCATTCCATAATACAAGTATATTCATTTTTTTTTGGTTTTTTTGGTTTCTCGCCTGGTATCCGAAGCTTCGCCCCGACTAATCCAGACCCGACCCGCATCGCGCACCTGAAAATGATGGGTAAGTCTCCCAACGGGGGCTGCTGTATTCATAAGGTCTCGAACTTGAGACCTTACTTAAACTGGAACAAGCCGTTTACCACTTGATCCAACTCTTCGTTGGAATACAAGCATATTCATATTAGCACACATTTGCCCTCTAAATACCCGTAAGGATCTCCCAAACGAAGGCTTTTCTTACGTCTAACATCGTGCGCTAATGTGAATAAGGGCAACAGAATTTGTCAATGAATCCCACAAGGGCAGGTCAACTTAATTTGTTTCTAGCCGTTGAAGGCTCCTCCCATTGTACCAAAAAAAAAAAAAAAAACAAAAAGAAAAAGAAAAAGGCTCCCCCCATGTTCACACCCTCCTTTCTTTCTTGACATTGACTTCTAGTTTTCGCTTTTGACAAGGGATGCTTTCCAAATTTTTTAATATAAACCAATCTTCCACTCTGCTCCTTTTGCCCATAACAACTCTTCCTCTGTTCTTCCACTATTTTTCTTTATCTTTCCATTAAATTCGGGTGTCAGTTTCAGGTTCTCAAAGTTTTTCAAGCTTGTTTAAGGTGTCACAAATCCATTGTTTAAACAAAGTATGTTTCTTTCTAAACTCTGAATTCATTCATTTCCTTTTCTTTTCCTTCCTTCCCCACAAACCAAGTGAGAAAAATACTTTTTCCCCATCTTAACGATCTTTTTTCCATTTCCTTAACTTTTCAGATCAGTATGGAGTATGAAAACCAGTACCGTGATGTCCCAGAAGCAAAATATGAATGCCTTCTCTTTGGTAAGTCTTTCTGCATAATCATGTCCTTCAAATTCCTAAATATATACCCTTCTGTTGAAAATTTTTGTTTCATTCTACAGATGTGGATGATACCCTTTATCCTCTGAATTCTGGTTTGTCCAAAGCATGTGCCACCAATATTTTAGGTAATAACGCAGATCTGATCTAATTGCTATGAAATCTGGTTCTGTTCTTTTTTATTCTCTCTTCTTTCCCCCTTATGAAGGTAGATCTTATTATCTTCTATATATATCTTCTTTTCCAGATTTTATGGTTCAAAGGCTAGGGATAGAAGAAAACAAAGTTTCAGAGATAAATGAAGTCCTATACAAAAATTATGGGACATCCATGGCAGGCCTCTTGGTAAAGTAGTCTATGAGATCTATACACTCCCTCTTTGATAAATGCTTTTAGTTTCCAAATCTCCATGTTGAGTGATGCCTAATTTATTTATTTTTTATTTTTTATTTTTTGTTCTCTATCGATCTTCAGGCTGTTGGCTATAAATTTGACTATGATGATTACCACAGGTATCATTTCCTCATTTTCCTTTCTTTATTGATGTATTTTATGCCACAGAAAAAAAAAATTGGTCTGAAAATTATTTACTCTTCTTAATTTACAGTTATGTTCATGGAAGATTACCCTATGGGAACCTAAAACCTGATCTTGTCCTCAGAAATCTTCTACAAAGCTTGCCGATCCGCAAAGTTGTGAGTTCCTTTTCTTTCAAACAAACCCAAAATTATTATATTTAACTTAGAAAATTTGTTGAATATTTTTCTTTCTTTTGTTTTCTTGTGAAACAGGTCTTCTCTAATGGGGACCAAGTCCACGTGAATAAAGTTCTAAAGAAGCTTGGATTGGAGGATTGTTTTGAGATGGTTATAACTTTTGAAATCCTGAATCCCACCAGCACTGAGACTCCTGTTGTTCATAATCACCCTTCTGGCTCAGAATTTCCGGATACTCCAATTGTTTGCAAGCCCTTTGAAAATGCATTTGAAAGGGCCTTCAAATTAGCCAACATTGACCCTCAAAAAACAGTAAGATAAAAGCCCAAAACCTTCACCCTCACCTCCTGGCTGTTGTTTGTACTAAAAATTAAGCAATGATTCTTTGTTTTTGCAGCTCTTCTTCGACGATAGCACCAGGAACATACAAACTGGAAAGAGAATGGGACTTCACACTGTCCTAGTAAGTTGCTTCTCAGTGTACATTTGTATAGTATTTAATTGATCCTTTTATGGGAATTTTTCTCAAATGTGTATATTGATCAATAATGTATGGGAACACAGGTGGGAAGTTCACACAGAACAAATGGTGCAGATTATGCATTAGATAGTATACACAATATGAGGGAAGCACTGCCAGAGCTGTGGGAAGAAGCAGATAAGAGATCAGAAAGTGCGATGCACCATTCTGGGGATATTGCAATTGAAACAACAGTCCAGGCCTAGCTCAACCTCAACCTCAACCTCCTTCACCAGTTCTCCTTTTCTTCTCTGTTGTTCGTCTACCATTTTCTATATATATATATCCTGTTAAGTAGTAAAAATAAATAACCTAACCTACCTGTTGAAAACTTTCAACCCTTAGAAATGGGTAGAAAGGATTTGACAAACCACCACACCCCCCCACCCCAAAAAAAAAAAACAAGGGCAGTATCCCTTGATGTAAAATTCAGTTTTAATGAATAAATTATGACTTTTTCATGCCACTTCATTTAACTATTTTCCAAATCCCTTGCTCTTCCCTACTTATTTTAGGTTTTGAAACTGAAACCTTCTATCTTAAGAAAGAAAATAAAAACAATCGGATTAACTAACTAATTCTGCATTAACAATAATAAAAAATTTTTGATGAATTTTTTTATCTTATCTCTTAATAGAGAGATTAAATATATAATAAATATATTTTTTATAATTAATTTATATAAAATTAATTTAAATTTAATTAATT